CTGCACCCAGGTGGCATTAAGATGCGGCTCCGTAAAAGCGAGGCTGCAAAAATGTTTCCTGCTGCTGAATATATGATGCGCCGACTGTTTCTGTCTGCAGGGACAGATCCCCCATCAGCTGACTCGCTCAGGCTTGCACCACAGCAAAGCTCCCCCACTTCACGGTACAGAAGCCATTGCCCGTTTAAGAAGGCAGCTAGGTGTAGCTGATGAGCAGCATGTGGGCTTGAGGAAGGTGAGGAAAGGAAGACCACCAGTTTGGCCTACAAATGAAATGTATTTCTTCACCAAGCTGCAATAAAAGCAAGCCTCATCAGGACACCAAGCCTTTGCAAGCTCTAACAGGGAGCTAGCGAGAGCTGTGAGGGCAAGAGCTCCACAAGCTGATGGCTATGGATCTCTCCCAACCACGCCACCGATGTCTCCTGCTACTCCCAGTACCCCAACGGTGGCAGTTCTCAGGGGGCTGAAAGAGGGTAAAACCAGGGCTGTTGGCTCATGCACCCATCCAAAGGCAGCCACAAAGTCTGGTGCCAGGCAATACAAGTAAAACAAGGTGGGAGGGGGGCTGCTCTCAAGACAAGTCACATTTACTCGCATAAAGTTGAAGGTAACTCTGTGCTTTCTTGACTGGTTCCCAGCACTTTTTCTTAGCACTTTTTCCCCCCTGTATTCTCATCAGGACACTTGCACCTAAGCAGACAGGGCCAGGAATGTGAAGGCTGAGCCTGCAGCCAACATCTCACATCAGCCCATCTCCCTGGGGACACAGCCCTCCACAGACGAGCACAGTGAGCAACAACAGCAGGGAAACGTCTTTGTGCCTCTCCCAGCCGTGGAGAAACAAGTCCCAGAAGCTGCACAGACACCCAGCAAGGGCACAGGACCAAAGCGGCACATTGATCTTCAGCTCCCGGCGCTCCCGAGGACCACGGCCCGTCTTGGACCAGGAGTACAGATGATCAGGAGAGTAAAGGAAACAAAATTGAAAAGTGCTCCAGAAATATGAAAAAAATGATAAAATTATCACTGTGCAGCAGTGCATCTTTATGAGCAAGGAAAAAAAGGGGGAACAGAAGCAACACTAACACCTTAACACTAATATGTCCGTATTCTGTTACATTTCCTGAAATAAAAAGCAATTATCAAAGCCAAATAACACAAAACAAGCAATCACCAACAGTCCATCTGAGAGCTTCAAGTGATTTTTTTCTTGGGAAACAGCCCAGAAGAGTTCTGCACTACAGGGACTACAGATGACACCAGTCAATTATTTTAGCTGATCACAAACACTAGGGGATTATAAGGCTTGGATAAGTGGAGCCTCATGAGTGAGAGTACTTTTTTCCTTAAACTGACAGATATACAGGTTAAAAAAAATGGTGAAAAAGTGATTCTATGAATATATGTTTAATACTATATAAGGATTTTAATGAAAACACTTATTGGAATCGACATAGCCACATGCTTGCTGATTTTTTGCTTAACAACACAGCAGTATAGTTGGAGTGGTGATAGTCTCCAACCCACTAGGCCAAGATCAGTTATCACTCAGGACTCCCATCCTGCAAATATCTCATGCCTCCTAGAAAAAAAAACAAACTCCTGCTCGAAGGCAGTCTAAGCTTTAGATGACCAAGAACATCTTCCCTACAAGAGCCTCTAAGACATCTCTTATTTTCTGTCCAGTCTGGAATGGACACGCACTTTGCAGCCTGGCAGCCCACAGTAAGGCTGTCATCAACTTTCCTGCTTCGAAGGGCAACATGGGGCAGAGCCGCTGGCCCAGAAATGCATTTCCAGTGTCACCAGCACAAAAGTTCCCTGGAGCAACAGCAATAAATGTCGCTTCCAACCCCTCTGGGTTGTTTAATGGCCTGGTCCTGGGCACATAAGGCAGCAGAGTGCCACTGAAATCACACAAGGCAGACATGATTATCAGCAACTAGGGGTAATGCTGCAACTCTAACAGAATATTCCTGAGATTTTGCTTTTAATTATATACTTACTACAGCACTGTTACTCTCGGTAATAAATGAGACAGAATATGATATTCATACCGGACTAAAGTGCTCACCTAAAAGTGTTGTGAAAGGTCAAGCACCAGTAAAATTCATACTATTAATGCATTATATAGCATTAGTGATGCTGCAGTGACAGTGATATAAACAGAGCAAAAAGCCCAACTGTAAACCAGTCAACTTGGATCCCCATAGCAATGACTAAGTTGTCCAGCTTCTTACAGTCATTGGTTTCTTGACACTTGTGTTCTGGTTCTTTGGCTCTGTAGCCAGAAATAGGACTCATTTTCCCATTGTTATTCAATTTGCCTCTTAAAACAACATATTGGATCTTGTACAAGGGCTTCTGGCAGATCCGTGAATTTTGCTGTAATGATAAAACCGGAACGAGGCCTGGAAAGGTCCAAACTTCTTTGAACAAATTCTAGTCTTCATGTGCCTACACAAAGCCAAGACGTGTTTATACTGGAGTGGAATGTGTTTAAAAGCAAGGGGCTGACACATTAATGTTTTAGTTGAACTGTGATCCAGGTCCTGCAGAAAGGTGCAACAGACAGCTCCAGTGACCATCATGGAGAGTCTCAGCCCCACAATTTTGTTTGGCAGAAAAATGATTCTGAAAGTCATTGCAGTAGCTCTACCTTATGAAAGTAGCTTCGTAATCAGGATCACCCGGCAGGAAGGAAACTGAGGCGGTTGGCTCAGGAAACCCACGCTCTGAAAGGCTACAGAAGGCCCCTTTCAATGCATTACCCCACACACTTTACCAGTAACAGAGAGAGAGGCACAGAGATGCACACACTTACATCTGAAATTCAGCCTCTCCTGGGTGATCCAATACTACAGCTGCTCTACAGGTGCCTCCTGAAAGTGCCTAAAAGCTATGCATGCATTTAAAGAAGACATATAGAATAGTTTAACCAAAAACGTACTTGACAACTGGACAGGGGGTAAAATGTTACCTCTTCTGTTCCTACGGAGAGAACAACCACTGACTGTAAAGACAAGGCAGCACTTACACCTCTCTGACTTTTTTGTCGCATTGCAGGGCACAGAAGTTGTACATCCCATGGTTCCGGTGCAGACTGTCCATCAGTTTAGTTGCTCCTGCTAGGAAGGCAGCTTCCCTCCGCTGTCACATTTGCTGAGGCGATCCTTCAGCACGAGGACCAGCTGCGAGCTCCTACCAGTCCTGAGAGCAAGACAAGTGCGAGGGGGAGAAGAAGAGGTAATTGAGCACACGCCATCTGGGCACCTGCCGCTCATTCCCAACCACCGTGCAGCACCTCCTACACCTGGAATGTGGATCCCAGACTGGGTTCAGTTTTCAGATCGCATCACCATCAACTTGCTTCCTTCCTTCCTACCTGCTCACTGAAAGCTCATGTGCACCAGTGAGTTCTGAGTTGAAAGCATGGCTATTTAAAGCCTTCCTAGCAGGGACAAGGGACTGCAGAGCAATGTTACTTTTTATCCTTCTGGTTTGAAAACAGGGACTGCAGAGTATTAAGGACTCTAAATTACATCTGATATTGCTGCTAAATATAACCAAACTCCAGCAACCACCTCAAACTCTGCCCATTTGAAAAGATGCCTTATCAGCCCATCTATTTCTCAGCATCCTAAGTCTGTTTATTGGTTGGTTTACAGAGGGAAAAAGTTTTCTCATGCATGCCAAACGAACAGAAATCCCTACCACGCATTTACTCTCAACAGAATCTCAACCACCATCAAGTTTATAAGGAGAGACAGCACCATAGCTAAGGGTTTCATAATTGATTTCACTTTAAATATGCATCCAGCTTTCTCTTGCACTTTTCCTGAAGCATCCTAAATAAAAGATCGGATTTTGTTAAATAAATGAACATGGTACATCTTGCAATGTGGCCTTTGCTCATCTCCTCACTAAGCCATATCATTTGCAATACCAAGTTCAAATGAGTAAAATTCCACTGAGACACAAAACAGGTTAATTTCTAAGTAACAAAGAAGTCACTGATGCTTTTAGAGAGGCTGAGTTTTGCTTTAGCTGTAGATTTTTGAGAGGAACACTCTGACCCCACTCCTTTCCACCCCCACTGCTTCTCTCTAGCATGTCCAACATGCTATGTTTATTACATTCCTTATCTTTTAATTGACTTTAATACAAAAGAAATTCATCGGCGTAAAATTAAGCACTCCTCTTTTTGCCTTTGTTTTACACTAGCAAGCACAGAAATAACAGGAAGATAAGAGATGAGAGCAAAAAGAAACAAGACTGTAACTAGCCTATTTTCAAGATCAATAGCTGGAAGGAGTTTATTTGCGCTACTTCCAGGGTCCCCCAACACAAGGGTATCCTACACTTGTGTCGGGACAATCAACTTCTAAGTCACTATTTATTACAGGAGATAAACATTTAAAATTTTCCCCACAGTGTACTCTGTTGCTCACTCCTCCGTAGGAGCTAACCCTGAACACCGAACAAGTGCTGTTTGGAGCAAAACAGTGGCTTTGGCAACACCTAACCTAGCATGGATACTGCTGACAGCTCAACTTTTCTCTCCAGAGAAGGGTTATTATCCTGATACCATCTCCTCACTTGCCTTCCTAGGAGGACCTTGCGTCTTCATGAGCCTCTCTCGGCACCGCCGGTCACACCTTGGTCTAGGCTCAGACCGTAACCTCGGAGCAGGCCGGAGCTTCCAGCCTAAGCCCAGCTTTGGGAAGCCCTTCCTGGCTACGGCGCAGGCCGCTCTGCGCCCAGTGTCCGGGCAACGGGACAGGCAAACAGAACCGCGGCGGAGCCCAGAACCCGCTCCGGGCCGGGCAGGCACCAGCAGCCACCGCCCGCAGAGCGGGGAGGGGAATCCTCCTCATTCGCCACCTTCAACCATCCAAGCTTTTTTGCTCTAAACACCCCCATTCGTCCCTTCACTTCCGTATGAATCCTTGGACTTCTGGCACTTTCCCAAGCCAAGAAATAAAAAAGAAAAGAGTCACGGGACCAGGAATTTTATGGTAATACTAGTTAATGAAGACTGAAACATACACTCAAACTTGGAGGAAACTTTGTACAAATGTTCTCTATCCTTAAAAATCTTAGTTGAAGATGCCAAATCTGGCCCTCAAAGAGCTACCCAGGAGACCAATCATCATTTTGGTGCTGAACATCTGCATCCTAATGCAAACAGTGCTGGCATGCAAACTCCTGCTCGACCTCCTGAAGGCTTCTCAGGTGGGCACGGCCAACTAACACCAGCAGCCAACCTGCATTCCTGGACTCCAGGCAGCCACGTCCAGCAGGGGCTCCACCCAGGCCTGGCAAATTCCCTTATTGCTCTTCTGGCCTGACCAGAGAATCACGAACAAGTGGAACAGCCCAGGGTGGAACGAGCCGGTACCTGCCCCGGGCAAGGGCTCCTCACTGCTCCCAAGTGAGCAGCTCCCAAGCGAGAAGTCCTGTCCCCTCCAGGTACCTCAGTTCCAGCCACGAGGGTCACGCTCTGCCTTCCTGAGCCAGCTCACTGGGAAACACCAGGCAAAGACCATCGAGACCTATCACTGGGAAGAAGGTTAGAAAACTAGCGTTTTAAACTAGTGAACCATACTCCTCTACCACGGTATCAGAAAAGGCTTCAGTGGCGCACCGTAACTGGTTGCACGAGAACCTGGCACATAATGCTGTGCTAGCATGCTGCCTACCAGGCCACTCGTTTAGTTTTAGGAGAGAATGTGTCACATGCATTTAGAAAGAGACAATAATTCAGTATCTACAGGCCAACGATCAGTCTCATTTCCAGAAATAACTCCAAGAAATTACTGTATATCCCTCAGTTCAGCAAAAAACGGCAATTTTGTGATGGATAGGCACTGCATACACAGCCCATCCAGTGATGTGACATAAAACATAATTCCGGCTCTACCAAGAGACACACACCAAGCTAAGCACCAGGACACACACTGTTCTTTTGGATAGGGGTCACTGAAGCCTAACCTGGCGCAAGTGCTTAGAAACTTCGGTTTCAAGACCTGAGCTGTCAAGATCCTGATTTACAGAAATGATGAACAAGTTACCATTTGATCTGGATTTAATAGGTGCTGCCCAAAATCAATCATGCTTTCAGTTCATCAGTCACATAAAGACTGTGCTGCCTCAGGAATAAATGGAAATCTTGTAAAGATTTATAGCTGGCTTCTAATGAAATCAGGCAGCAGGTCCTTTGGGCACAGAGCCATCCTTTCAAGCATAGCATATTTTTTAAAAATTAGATGAGCTGTATTACTGGCAGGAAAGCCTAAGATAGGTCAAGCCTGCAGATATAGAGGCCATACAAAAAAAGAGCCACTATGCTTTAAACTTATGATACTCTCCTTGTTCCATTTATTTCTTACTTTGATAAACAAAGAATAAAAGGTTGCTCCCTTTATTTTTGTTGGAATGAGATTTCCACGGCTATGGTACTTCCCCTGCAAATTGTTTCAATGTGCCTCCTTTGTCTTTTGGCCCTTTCTCAAGCATATTTGTGATCAGGCTGCTATGGTCTCCTCCCATAGCATGTGTTGGAAGGTACATGTGCTTGCAGTGCTAGTGAGATGGGGACAGTTTCCTCTGTAAGGACAGGACAGGTTAATTGATGGATACTTCTAATGCCAGAGGGTTTGCTTTCATGTCTTTTTAATACTGATTTTTGACTTTTCTGTAACTCACAGACTTGACTTGGAATTGCTTTATTTGGATATAACTGCAAAGGATGAAAGAATGATGCTATAATATGGGTTCCCATACACTCGTGGGCAAGATGATACACTGCAGAGGAGAGCATGAGCACTAGGACATGAGAGGCAGGTGAGCAGAGAGAGACAACTTCCCTTCAAAACAATCTTGTTGCCAGAGATGGGATTTTCAAGGCTGGGAATCCAGAGATGAGTTAAAGATATTCACCAGCTAAATGATCTGCTAGGGGAGGAGAAGAGCCCCAGACAATGAAATACAAGCGCTCTAATTTTGATGCTAATGCTGAATTTGGTCTACCAAGGAGCTGATGGAGGAACAACAAGTATAGACAAACCAGTATGTGATTATGTCTCTGCTAGTTTCAACCCTGGGACAAATAGAAACCATGATGTTTCTACTGAGTGACTTCTATACATAAATAAATGAGAAAGCCTTTTTGTTTCAATATATTAATCAAAATACAACAAGACAGATAATTTCTTCAGTCTGTTCAGAAAAGAAAAAGGAGATTAGCCACAGTATAGAATTGATGGAGCAATTTCTAGGAAGGGCTGTGTTGACTGGTCTCAGTGTTTGAGCCAGCATTCAATAGGGGATGGCTGTAGTAAGATATGAGAAAGCCACAAATGCCCTATTGAGCGAGACTAGGATGAAGACAAACCATCTTATTAAGGTGGACTCATATTCCTGAGCCCCAAAATCCAATGCAGAAATAAATATGAGCAAGATTTGCAAAGGTGTGAACATTCAGAGGTTGTTCAAGCAATCACATGCAAACTCAAAGAAAGTCTGTGGAAAATTTTTTTTTTTTTTTTTTGTGCAGAAAGCCTTTGACTGGGTAGAATGTGTAAAAAAAATAAAAGAGGGAAAGGAGCAAATAGAAGTACATAAATTGAGTGCAGCTCACTTGGAAGTATAAACACAGCCATCAGATCCCTTTCCAGAAATATGAAATGCCTTGGTTTAGGAACCAAGAAGACTTTGGAGATCAAAGTTAGTTCTAGTCAACTGAACTCCACTAGAGTGGAAGAGTCAACAACAGTTGGAGGAAAAGTGAAATCTGAATTTCCCACAATTCCACAGTTACTAAGCAGACTCTTCAAGACATAGCATTTAATTCTCTTTATCTGCAGGGGGGAAGTAGCTAAAAAAGCAAGACTCCAGAAAGAACTAAATATGTGCTAAAACCTAAGTCAATTTAAAAACAAAAATCATACCTCTGCTGAAGTTACACTGGTCTTAAACTTTAAGCTAAGGATCATAGTAAATTTTAGATTTATCATCACAAAAAACAGCTTTTTCCTAAATGTATACAAATATGAGATACAATAGTCACAAAACTGTGTGAACTACCTCATCTGAAGTCAAAGTTCTGCATAAGTGATGCAGTCCACGTCAGACATCATAGCTCAAAACACACATTTTCATCAAGGCAAAATCATCAGTAGCACCACACACCTCTGTCATTCACCTCACAGGCTTAGGAGGCAGGCAATTTGCTCTTTGCAAGTGAGCCCCACCCAAAGAGATTACCTGTTTCTGTTTTAATGCTTCAGCAACGCAGAGATTTTTCTCATAGGAATATCTTTAGAAGATTTTTTTTTTTTTAAGAGATGAAATGGTCCTTTTTTTGGAAACCAGAACTGCACTAGGAGGAGTGCAGATCTGCAGAACAGGTGCTCTAGCTTCTTCTGGGGCTCTGGAGCTCTCGAGCTGCAGTACAGTTGCTCTCTATGTACTTACGTAGCTTCCCGAGAGGAAATTTCTTGATGTTCAAAAGCAGTCAGTGGGGAAAGGTGTTCTCATCGCGCAGCCCGATGCGAAAGCCCATGGCTGCCCGGGTGCAGTTCCTGGGCAATGTTTTGCCAATGTTTTGCTTCCCCAATCTCAGGCAGAGGAAGGGATGGGCTGAAGTTATCTGCTTCACATCTCAAGTCACATGATCCTTCAAGAGGAATAGCCTTGCTGCTGTAGGGAGATGATGATTTGCATTTTAGTAGAGCTAGTCTGCAGGGAAAAACACATAGGGGCTGCTCAGGTATGTGGATATCTGTAGTGACTGGCACGGCTACGAAACCGAGGGCAGAAGGAGGGGCAGAGGATTTTACCCGTAGCCATCGTATCTATACGGCAGTGACGCAAATATTCTCAGGAGCTCTCATCATACTCAGACAGGTAGGAAGCACCCAGCGCCCTGGCAGCCCCCTGTCCTCACTGGGGAGGCGCTGCTGGCCTGGCCTCCGTGCAAAGCGACGGAGCCACAGCCGCGTTTGTGGGATCCCTGGGGGTCTAGAGGCGGCTCCAGGTTATAGGGCAGCTCCAGGTTATAGGTTATGGGGTGGGCAGGCAGCTTCACGTGGAGCAGCAGAAGATGGGGATCGCAGTACCCCCCTTGCACTGCATACAACAGAGTTCCCCAAGGACAGGTCCCATTCCCTCAGGGAAATCAGGCTGGATAGGGAACAAATGATTTGTGAGGAGAGACAGAAAGAGGGCAAGATGCCCCCCTTTTGCCCTAAATGCCTAAGAACACTGTCACATGTATTTTGAGGACACTCTGACTAATGGGTGGGATGACAGCTCTGCCGCGGCCATGAGCGGCTTGTTCTCCCCGCGAGGGCACAGAGAGACTCAGATACCATCACTGCATCGTGCCATAGGACAGACAAACTCTCCCACTCTGACACACTGGATGGCACTCTGAAATAAGGTTACACACTGAAGAGCGTAGGACACCGAAGTAGAGAACCAGTACTGTGCTGATTCCACTGACAGAGGCGGCTCCCAGAGGCTCTGAAATTGTAGACACCTTCTCAGGGCTATTTCTCTTCTGAGAAAATGGGTAGCAAATAAAATACACACAAGGGATGATAATTCTGCATGACCCAGAAGAGTTTTGATGCTTTTTTCTCTGTCAGGATGCACTTTCCCTGGTCAGAGTTACAGTAGCTAATCACTTATGTATGATCATGCTGTTCAGCCAAAACGCACAGAAGCAAAAAGTGCATCATAACCTTCTTCCGGAAGGTATACGCTATTTAAAAAACATTTACTGTATCTGACAAATTCACCTGCACTGGCATTTACCAAGCCTTCTGCCTAATGAGATGCGATAAGCCTTGTTGTTCCAGCTGCCAGGAAATCCATCAGAATTGCTTAGCCCAAGATGAGCAGGGGAGGGACCAAACCCGTAGCCAGTCGGTGCTGAGGGACACAGATTTACACCACGTGTTTTCTCCCGTTATTCATAAAAGCCGTTTAACCTCTGTCTCAGGGGCCTGATGTGAGCAAGCTGTGTGAGGGAGTCAGTGTGTTGGCTGGAGCCACCTCTCCAGTTACGCGCAGGGATCACGGTAACATGCAACTTGAGGAAACACGAGCAAAGGTGCTTTCCAAATTAACCTTTCCTGCCTGAGTCCAAGGACAGGGGCTGCACCTAAAACAACCCCTCTGCCCCCCCCCTCCCCACCAAACAACAACAAGAACAAAAAAAAAAAAAAAAAAAAAAAAAACCAAAGGGAAAACCCTCATGTCCACATAGGGCAAAGAAAGAGCAGCTCCAGCACGAAGCCACGCGCCCTACAGGCGTTTGTCGGGCAGCCACACACTTACGATGCTGAGGAGACCTGGGCCCTGCACCGGCAGTGTCACAGATGCCAGCTGATGCTGCGGGAGCAGCGCGAGGAAAGGCCTCTCCCAGCACCCCTCGTGCAGCCAGGATGATGCATCCACTGCCTGGAATACTCTGGAAACACTAACCTCCGAGCGAGCCTCCATGCTGGCCTCCACATACATAATTCAAGCTCTGCTTCGGGATCACTTCCGAGAGCCCCCCCGCAAAGGGATGCAAATGCTGTTTTTGTTCCACCCCCCCAAAAAAGAAGACTGAAGATGATCATAGCCAATGTGAATATGTTGCGTCTGGGCTCTGACCATGGCTCCTCTCCTCTTGGCCTACCTGTGTTCAGGATACTACTTTTGCAGGACCCAGCAAGGTATTTTAAAATACTAGCCTGGGCCAAGTCCCTGACCGAGGGATCTGGGTACCCAGTCACAAACAGAAAGAATAAAAAGAATAAAAGACCTAAGAAGGAAAAAACAGAGAGCACATTTTTATTTGCTTTCTTTTTTTGTTTGCTTTGTTTTTTCATATTAAATTCTGTCTCAGTCAGCAAGAGGTCAGGAACACATTGTCACAAGTCTAAATGATAAGGTTAACTTGGATGAGCAGGAAATTTCCCTCCTAAAATGGACAATTCTGGGTGAGAAGATGATAAATAAAAAGATGTCAAAATCGGCATCCTTGGCAAAGAGAACACGAAATCAGAAACGCGGGCCAAAACCAGGGCAGCTACAGGGCCTTGAAGCTGCTGAAGACCAAGACGCAAGACCAGAACACCATGAACGCATCCAGATACCTTCTCTGAAATGAAATTAAAAACAATCCCAAATTATCGTCTAATTGCAGATTACTATGAAAAGCAGTCCCTGGTGGCACAATGTGCCCTCCTCCACCTGCAGCCCATAGAGATGACCGCTATTTATGGCGCTCATGATCTCAGAGGAATTATGTCTGTTTTTTTGAAGGACTATGAACTACTAGCTGGTAAGTGTAGCCATCACCTATATGGTAGGAGAAGATCAGAAAAGTTGAAGAAAATAATTTTCCTTGCCTTTTATTTTCGTCTTACCCTTAATAAATTGCTTCTTATGACAAAAACGTGCAAAATTTCTACCTTGCAATAGTCATCTGCTTCAGCAAAACACAAATGATTTCATGAGCCAAGGCAACCACAACTGCACTCCTTTATTCGGGGGCAGCGTACTCTCCTATACGGCTCCGTACCCTCGCACGGAGTCATACGCTCCAGGAGCCACACCATCCATCCGCAGCTTGCGTCATCTTGGATACTCCTTGGGAGTAGGGTTGTGTGGTTAGTATGAGCAGCCTGGTGTTTCCCACCATAGGGAACACACACCTACAACCACATAGGCATTACCACGCTGTATCAGCATGTAATAAAATGTAATTCTTGGCCAAAATCCAGTTGCACAGGAGTGTTACTCACCAAACTCGCAGGCGGAGCCCCGCAGCAAAGGCGCCGCATGCAAAGCTACGGTATTAAATGAGATAACCGAGAGGAGAGCGCCCGTCTGGCAGCGGGGAGCTTAGTGCAAGCGCTGGGAGCCCTCTGCTGCCTGAGTAACGGAGCCTGCGAGCGCACTCTCTAGCAGGTGCTCACCACAAACCTGCCTCTGATATGAGTTTTGTGTATTTTGTGCTGGGCAGCCCTTTGGTTACACTATTTGAAATCAGGCTATAGTTGATAGCAAATGTCTTGCACCTCTTTAGAAGTGTTCCTCTGTATTCCTCTTCCTATGCATCAGATGAGGGTCTAAACCTGGGAATTTTCATGTTGTCTTTATTTGGGGAAACCCCTCACTGGCATTTTCAGTTTATTTTGGTAAACCTCATACCTACCTTAATATAAAAAGCAGTCATATATGCGTCTATTATATGTCAACGGTGGTTTTCATAAATTCAGAGGAAGCAAGGCTTACATTAATATTCATTTTTTTCATGTCATTTTCGTTTGTATCTATAGTTCTAGGCCCAGAAATTTGTCTGGCATATACATATAAGACATGTCCTGCAAGACACCTTTTTTCCCTCAACTGTGAAATAAGCTCTATCGTGGTGGTTCCATAGTGTAGTGGTTATCACGTCTGCTTTACACGCAGAAGGTCCTGGGTTCGAGCCCCAGTGGAACCAGCGCCCGGCCATTTATTTTCTTGTCTACTTCTCTTTTTGTTGCTCTTTCTTTGTTTTCTCACTTCCTTTTACAATATGGGAAGCGTTTTGTGGGGTAAAAGAAGAGAGAGAATGTGTGTGTGTGTGTGTGTGTTGGAGGCGCTTTGCGGATTTGCATCCAAACAGGGAAAGCCCAGCAAGAGAAGGCACAAATCAGTGTGCAAAGCACCGCGTTCAGTGGAAAAATCCCACCATCAAAGCAAGCGGCAGTTGCGCAAAAGCACTTCTTTTTTTTTCCCTTCTATTTTTCCTAAGCCCATGAACACAATTCAGACAGCGTCGTTGCTGCAGCTGCCCTACCTTGCTTCTCTGCAAACACCGTGGACACAAATGGGGAGAAAAAAAGTGTGTGTGTGTGTGGGGGGGGGCGAGGTGGGAAGAGAAAAGGTCAAAAAAGAAAAGGGGAAGGGGGAGAAGGGGCAGGAAAAATAGAGGAGAAGAGAGGGGAGAGGTGGCAGCAGCTCCTGCGGCCCACACAGGACCCACGCTGCGCACGGCCGGGGACCCCGGGCCGCCCACAGGAGCAGCCTCTGCGCCCTTTCTGGTGTTTGGTGCTGCTTTTGTCTCTGTGCCAATAATAATAATGATTAGTAATAGCCATAATAATAATAAGGTAAAATGATTTAAGAGGGCCCAGGGAAGGGACCTGCAGCAGCAAGTGCCTGTGCTGGCCTCGGCTCCTGTACCCCCATCGCTTTAGTGGGGCCGGTTGGCACCTCCTGACCTCTTGGGCCTATTTTATTTAGCAACGTGGGCATAGTTGAATTGCCCTATTTAGGGCTGTTTATATGGGGGCCAGTTTTGCTCCGTTATCAACAACGGGCTCATTTTGGCCTTTTTTTTTTTTCCTTTTTTCCCTCCCCACTGAGGATGAACATGGCCTGTTCTGGTGCATTTTCGTGGCCCGGCCTTCGTCGCTGTCCGCCCACGCTCTGCACACGCGCTCGTGAGGAGCAGGGCGCTGCGTGACTCACTCGGCATCGTGGCAGCAGCAGCGGCGCCGCTTCCCCGGCTGGTCATCATCCAAGCCGAGGACGCGAGGCACGGAGGGCCTGAGCCGTGCCGGGTTTTGTGCAGCCATTTCGGGGCTTCTGCTCATCTCGCGAGCCAGTTTGATTTGTTGTGTGTTGCTGCTGTTTTTTAATGCTAGAAACGTGTTTTTAAATGAAGGCTGCGCTTCCCCTGCAGGGGAGAAAATGTGGCAGGGGAGCTGGCAGCCTTGAGGATGCCCCTTGGAATGGCGAGGCCTGGATAGAGCTGCGCTGCTGCTGCTTGTCTCACCTTAAATCAGCCCCTGCTAGGGTGGAATCGATCATTTTTTTAAAAGCCTCATTTTTAAATTGCATGGGGGAGAAATTGGTTTTGCCTCCTAAAATACGCAGGCATTGGAGAGGCTGCTGTGCAGGGATGCTGTTTGTGTGGTCGAGGGTTTATTTGCTCCACAGCTTTACGCTGCTGGGAACCTGCCGTCTGAAGGACCGCTGGCCGCTGCCGTGCTTAACCAGCATCCTTGCTCGTACAGCATCTTTCTGGAACGGATAAAGACCAAGGCACGAGAGACGGGACCAGTGTAATTCGACATGTGACCCCCATGCAGTGATTTAATGATTTAATCCACTCTCTTCCCAGATCTTTTGGAATGAATGGAGCTGCTTCTGAAGCAATCCCCTTTAAAAGTCTACATTAAAAATTCACTGCTAGTTGCACATAATTAACAGATTTTAGGAGCAGTCCCAAAATCCAAGCAGAATCACTTGGAATCTGTTGCAGGCTTGAATCTTTCAGTCATTTGAAAACCAAATTTTGTAATTGTCTTTGATGCAAATTGGTTGATAGTCCGCTAAGCAGAGCTGTAAGGGAGGGGAGGTTTATTTTTTCTGTTTGAGATTTTTGCAGCTCAGCAAATAAACAACCAACATGTTCTATTCCTGTTTGATCAAGTAATTGCAGTTCCCAGCCCTTCGTGATTAGCTGGCTGAAAGAGCAGCAAGGCCAGTGCTGATTTCCTATACTTAGCAATTATTAGGAAAGGTATTGATGGCGTAAATGTAAATAACTGGGTTGAGGGATAATTAATACATATGCATACATATGCACATGCAATACTTGATAAGCTTTAGGCCATATGCAATGCTTTGTAAGCTTTGGTAGTAGCCTCTGTGTGTTGGCAGTGTTGGTGGGGACGTATATTTGGTTTTATAGGAGGGTGTCCATGTTTATGTGGATGTATATCAGTGCATGCACTCACACTGCCATTCAGTACATTGGTACCTGTTTATTTCCCTTGCAAAGTTCTTACCCTTGATGCATCCACTAGGACAGAGCTTGACACTAGTAACTGTGCAGCTGGCTTGAAGGTACGTGGTAAAGTCATAAGAGAAGGGCAGAGTAAGGTGCTTAGACAATGCTTAAGTTAATCTCATGCCTTTGCAGAGAGCCAAGCTGCGCGCTGACCGGCTATTCCCGAAAGAGGAGGGCAAAGATGCAGTTCAAGATGGGGAGCGTCCTGCTGTCTCTTCTCTTCTGGCACCAAGGTATGCGCTTTGCCTCCCGAGAGGTGCTTTTGGGTGTCCTTCTTTGTAATCCCTGTGTCTTCCAGGGTCCTTTATTTGTGCCACAAGCTGTGGGGTGCAGAGCGAGCTCGTCTTGGCATCCTCATGGAAGCATAATAATGTGAGGAACGGGAAAATTCTGGAGATGTGTAATTTATGTACATGAGGGAGCAGCGTTCTTACAGCTCTATGAATATTCAGTAGTACAAGTCTGTTTCACGAAGTAATTGCAGTGTAAAAAAATTGCCATATAATTTGTCAAAATATGAATTTGCAAGGAAAATTGTAGTGCAGCTGAGGCAGTGAGTAAATAATAATGCTGATTTGAAAAATGAGGTACAGTATAGCATGAAAGACTGGTCCTTCATTAATCAGAGCTCTTGATTAATCAAAAACCAGTCATTTTTCCTAACAGCAAGGCACTGTATTTATGCCAATTCAGATTCGCTTTTTCTTAAAGACTCAGGTATTTTGTGCTGGAAAAGACTTCCAAAGGCACCCAAAGAATAAGAAGCAATTATAAGCCAAGAAAAGGGGAAAAGTATTTACCAATTTTCAGGCTTTCTCAAATTTACTTTCAAGAACAGTGACAATGCTAGCAGATAAGTGGGAGCTATAGGACGCCAGAAAATTCAGGGTCACAGTCTCAGTCTCCTTCCACTTTAATTAACCCAACCATGGAACAAGGAGATCATTTCCCGAGTTGTGTTTGAATGTTTGGCTTCATCAATTTTAATAGCAAAGCTCCTATTATCTCAAACAAGGCTGAGGTTAGTCTTGCTAAGTGTTAAGTAATATCTACCAACCTTGATGTATAAATAGAATATGATATATCACAGTGTGGGAAAGACTTAGCAGGCAGTCCAGCTTTTCCCTCCACCACGCTGAATTCTCAGCGTTTTGCTTTTTAAGCCCTGCTCTATTTCCATCGACCATTTTGGTCTATCAAATTTCATGAGTAGGAAAGTGTTCCTAAGCGAGTCATATCTCAAATTCATCCTATCATGCTTAGCTGTACCCCACTCCATCTAATTAAATACTAGGTCTTCCTTTTCATCATCCATCAGGTGCTCGTGCCTTGTTCTCGTACTTTATCTCTCTGCCGTCCTTAGTTTCACATGGAAGGGCCACTAGTGCCTGAAATCCATGGAAGCGACTTTTGAGCCAGGCTCCAGCATTTTTCCCCTATTGGTAGCATGACTGTTATTAGTCCTTGGAATTAATTTATACCTTGCTGTGAATCCCAGACACAGCTTGCTTTTAATAGACACCCACACATCAGGATATTTTCGGAGAGCCTGCAGTGAAAAACTACTTGCAGGATCACTTTCTAGGCATCACTCTTTTAGTATTTAATTTATTTCCGTGATTTAACTCTTTTTTTTTGACCCGGCTGCATGTCCGAGCGTCATCTCCTGTATAAATTCCGAGCACGGCTCCTTTGCCCAGGTGCCCCTCGTAGCACAACCTCCTCCGCCGCGGGTGAGGTGCTGTGGGGCCAGTGCCCTCAGGCAGGCGCCGTGACCCCGTAAGCTCCTTAGCGATTTTCCTCTGCAGAAGGAGCGGGCTTAGCCGAGCGCCCGGGCCCCCCTGGCCCAGCTCGCGTTCGCGGGGGACGTCTCCGAGCGGCAGCGTCGGGCGCACGCGCGGGACCATCGGTGAGGGCCGCGGGGCACGCGGTGCCCGAGAGCGCCCACGCGAGCGTGCTGGTGTCGCGGTAAGTAGCACCGCTAGTGACGCCCTTCGGCACTGCTGGGGCATCGAAAGAAAGCACCGTGCGGGCAACGTGCTGCCAAGGCCTAAGGAGGAAGGGACGACCTAGGAGGACAAACACAAGGAACAAGATGGGAAATGGTACCAGAGATTTTCAGGTGAAGCTTTTGAAGTGAAGATAGTCATACCTCTCTCTCTCTCTCTCTCAAAAAGGAGAGAGTTGTTGATTTTCTTTTTTCTATTTTTTTCACAACAAAAGAAAAAGTGGTAGAAACGTTGCTGAGCGCAGCTGGCATGACAGAAAAACGAGTGTTGATTAAATAGGTATAATTCTCGTCATTTGGGTAAGCTTTTTTATCACTTTTAAATAGGTAAGAGCAAACATTAAATGAAGTGCGATGCAAATGCAAAAGGGATAAAAAAAATCTTTGATTAATACATGGAAATGAGGATGAAGAGGAGAAATAAACAGATTTTTTGAAAGTTGCGTAGAATAAATTGAACACAAAGTAGGAGTTTCTCCTCTGCATCCAGGCCCTGGGGCCTGTAGTTCCTGAGGCAGAGGCCTTGTCCCCACTGGGTCCCCTGTCCATGAGCCCTCCAAAATATCATTAATGGGTGAAATATCTTAAGCACTTTGGCACCGTGTGGCACAAGGCACCAGGAAAATGTCCCATTCGCCTCCCACCGTGGCGGCGCCCACTTCTTTGGGACTGATGCACCCCGTTTCCGCCAATGCACCTTGTTTTCCCAGGCTGGTACAGCCTTACGTAAGTCGCTTTGCTCTGCTGGTACCATTTCCAGAGCTGTACGTGGGATATAAAAATACCCCGGTTTAATAATAGACCAGCCCACAAGCTAACACCTGATGAGCGCAGAGGTTCCTCAAAGCTGTTTTCGGTAGCTTGACCCTTTGTGCTGCTCACACACTATCTTACATAACCCTCCTTACTGCCTCCCTGCTGCCGTGTTTGAGGGGGAAAAAAAGCAACTTAAAATTCAGCAAGTTGCAGCAAAATGTGATAAAGTGTGTGTCATTCATTTCGCTCACCTCTTTCATTTCTGTGACAGCTTTTCTGAGTTCCCAGGCACAGTTTTTGCTATTTTTTTCAAAATGTTCTCCTTCTCCCCCCACTAAAATGGCCCACACAGGCAACGGGGAAGCATCTAACCAGCCCCGCAGTCACACCAGGACCGAGTTGCTTTATTAACAGAGAATAATTTTGATCATCTCTGTGAGCTCTGTTGAACTGAGCTCTTACTTGCACAAATGAGAGGTAAAATTAACCATTTTCAGGCTTGGCGCGTGCATCTAGGCCACGTGATGTATAAGGTCAATAAGCAAAATCGTTAACAGTTTCCACATACTTTGCCTACAATGGCTACGTTTATGTGAACTTAACTCCGGTAAGTAGAACGATGGACGTTAATTCCATGTTATATTTTATTTGTCTCTTTTACTTTATATTATGGTTATAATATGGATCTGTGGTTGGGATATTTAAATATGTTTTCTTGCAGGTGACCGTCTTGAAACGATGGGAATCATTACTTGCTCACCTCTCTTATCTGCCTCCTTTCTTTCTCTTGTTTAGTCTCATTTTCAATGATTAGAAATTTTTGGAGACATTCACTTATCTGCTCCTGTCATTACAATGTCAATATTTCAATGCGCCGTACTTTATCTTACTTCTACCTGCCTTGACCTGAATTCCCCTTAATTGTTTCCAGCCACGTGACGGCCTTCAGTATTTATTGGAAAGCATAAGCATTTCCTCTGCACTGCCTGGGCATGCTGTGTGTTTCCTCACCGTGGGTTTTGCAAAGCGCTGGAGCCAAATGAGCCTCACGTGGAGCTAGAGGATTTCTGGCAGTGATGGCTGAGCAGCGCTTTTTAGACCTAAACCCCACCTTGAAGAGCGCTCGATCTAAACCGGACAGCCCAGGGTTTCTCATGGAGTAAGTCAAGAACCCGTGAGGTGATGAAAATAAATAAGGTATCAGCCAACTGCACAGGTGCTGCAGCACAAAATCGTCCCCTGCTGATTGCCCGAACCCCAGTGCCCCAATAACTGTGGCCTTCGTGCACGCTGGTGCTTAGGAGGCCCCACGTTGCAGGTTGGGATGGAAGGACAGGAAAGTCATGCACTGTCTCTCATGAACACATACGGATTATACTTGATTTCACCGAACTGATGGTTTGCTGGATGTCCTGGGGCACTACAGAGGCCGTAAATGAGGCTCTTCCCTTTTTGCCTTTTTCTCTCAGTTGTGTACTTTTAAAACAACAGCCCCAGGCAGCCATGCAGGACTTATGGCTCTCCCGTGAATTGCAGTAATTCGTTCTATCTGACCTACAATTACCAATTATCTTTGTAACCTCCCTTGAAGGCAAACATGCTCACTATAAAAGCATGCTGGCCATCACATTTTTAGACTATTGGCATCCAGCTTTCCTCTTCATTTCCTTTATAGGACAGGGCCCATCGCAGCTGTAAACACAACAATATATCCGTTACTACTCTTTCCAGCCAACTGCAGTCAAGGGCATCTTTTCCACTTTTCTCTCAGCTTACCAGGCTGTGCTGCCCAGGTTTGGGCTGTTTCAGTGAATTGCCATGGCCTAGAGACAAGCCCGTTGCTTTCCTCTTGGATGGAGGAGTATTGAGTGTTTCTGTGCAGCCTTGGGAGCTGGGCAGCAATGCTGGGACAGCCAGTGGCCAGGGCCACTTTGCACGTCCTCCTGCGGGTACCACTGTGCAGGCCCACGGTGATGCTCCCCAAGCCCAGGGCCATGGCTCCCAGCTCTGGCAGAATTCATTCTTTGTAGTTAACCTCTTTTAGCTCAAACAAGCAATATTAGGTCTCCTACTTCCAACGTGTACAGCAGCAAGCCAAGCAGTGGTGTCTAGAAGTCCTCAGCTAACTGTGTGCAGTCAGAGAAGATGAATGTCTTCTCCCCTGCCTTGATTCTGCATTTGTACCCCTTAAATGTCTCAGGTCTTACAGGACACATGCTTTTAAAACTGTTTGTTTGTTTGCTTGCTTTTTTGTGTTTTGAATTCACACTCTTGCTTGTTTTGCAGTAATTTCCTCGGGCTGATCAGCTTTAAAACCTCAGCAGCTCTTGTAGCTCAAGCTGCACTGCAGCCATCCAAACGATGCCAGGTGGCCAGAGTTTATTCCTTCTCATTTGAGTACGTGCTACTGCTTTCCCATCCTTCTGAAATTTTCCTCTTCTTTATATTTTCCTTTTTGATTTGTTCACAGCCATTGGGTTTCCAGCACCTGTCATTGAGGTGCACAGTTCTTATCTTGTCTTCTCGAGGACTTGAGACATCTCCTTATGGGGTCACCATGTATCACAAGCAGGATCTCTGCATCAGACTGGTAATTCATGTCCTTGTCCCCAAGGATGTTGCATGGGAACCAAATCAATATTCAGGCAGAGAGGTGATGGCACCTTTGCTTTTACCTCTGTATGGCTCCACTTATCGATGGGGTCATTCCTTGTCCAAAGCACATTTAACTACAGGAAGGAAAACAGGGTGTTTGTTTGTTTGTTTGTTTTGTTTTCACAAAAATCAGTATTTTAGAAATAGAATTAAGGTGACTAAAAACATTTAGCAAACGCGCATCTCGAATGTTGAACTTCTGAAGACTGAGCAAACCAAAGCTAACAGCACAGCTTTCTGGAGTCTCAGCCACTCCTCCCAGTCTGATATCATTTGAAAACTTGCTCAGTGTGCACTCTGTCCCCTCGTCCAAGTCATGGAGGAACAAGTTGAACAGCCCTGGGCCCAATACTGACCCTCTAGGGAACACCACTGGCAACAGGCCTCCAACTAGAATTGGCCCTACTTATGACTAGCCTCTGAGCTCTGCCATCCAGACATTTCTCAATCCACTTCACTCTCCACTCATCAAACTCACAGTTTCTGAGCTTCTCTGTGAGGATATTATGGGAGATGATTTCAAAAGTCTTGCTGAAGGCAAGGAAGACGGCATCCATATCTCTCCCCTTAACCATCCAGCCAGTCATCCCATTGTAGATGTCTATCGGGTTGGACAAACACAGCATCCCCCTGGTGAATCCATGTGGACTACTCCTGATCACCTTCTTTTCCTTTATATGCCTAGAGATGGTGTCTAGGATAAGCTGCTCCATCACCTTTCCAGGGACGGAGGTGAGGCTGGCCAGCCTGTAGTTTCCCAGCTCGTCCTTCTTGCCCTTTTTGAAGACTGGAGTGATGTTGGCTTTCTTCCAGTTCTCCGGCACCTCCTTTGCCCTCCATGACCTCTCAAGGATGATGGAGAGCGGCTGAGCAATGACCCCTGCCAGTTCCCTCAGCACTCTTGATTGCATCCCATCTGGTCTATAGATTTATGGGTGTCCAGTTTGCCTAAATAATCCCCAAGCCTCCTTGACCAGTGGAAAGTCCTGTCTCCTGGTTCTCTCTCTTGTCTCTGGGCTCAGTACATGGAGACAAGTCTTAGCAGTAAAGACAGAAGCAAAGGCGGCATTTAGTAACTCTTCCTTCTCTGCATCCTTCGTGACCAAGGCACCCTCCCCATTTGGCAGCAGACTAACATTTTCCCTAGTCTTCCTCTTGCTGCTGATGTATTTACAGAAGCCCTTCCTGTTGTCCCTGGCATCTCTTGCTAACTCTAATTCCAAATGGGCCTGGGCCTTCCTTTCTGCATCTCTGCATTCTCTGACAATGTTCTTATATTCTTCACGTGTGGCCTGGCCCTTCTTCCACATTACATACATGCTCTTTTTCTCATTAAGTTTAGCCAACAGCTCCTTGCCCATCCACGCAGGTCTCCTGCACCCCTTGCTCGACTTCTTTCTTATAGGAATACACTGATCCTGAGCTTGGAAAAAGTGGTGTTTGAATATTAGCCAACTGTCCTGGACTCCCCTTCCTTCTAAGACCCTTGCCCAGGGTATTCCTCCAAGGAGCTCCATGAAGAGGTCAAAGTTAGCTTTCTTAAAGTCCAGGGTTGCAATCCTACTTCTTGTTCAGCTTCTTCCTCGCAGGATTGTGAATTCCTCATCATTGGGTTGAGCCTGTCATCGCCAGGAAACACCCCACACTTGTGCTCAAACCCAGGGGCTGCTCAAGCCCTTCCTCTTGGCTTAGCTGGGAGCTCACCGCGTACCCTCTACCTATGAGAGAAGGGACCTTGCTCCATTTTGCTTCCTAGAGCAGCCGCACTAAGGCCCCTGGTTTTAGTGCAGTAAACCCAGTCCGCCTCAGCAACACTCAAGCCAGGGTAACTCACTTAATAATCGCTAATGGTTTAATCTCAGAGTATGATTGGAGAATGTCTGTGAGATGAGACTGGGCCTCATGCCGGCAGCACACAGCGTTGCTTGTGTTGGCAGAGGTGGAGCAGTTTCGGTAAGCGGGAAGAGCCTGATCTACATCTTGGTAATCTGACCTCAGGGAGTATGTTAACTCAGACTGCCCTTGTGCTATTTTGAGCTAACCTGTTTTGCCTCCTATTGCACAAGGCGGCTGATAAGCGGCAGTGAACTTAGTGACCTGGTGATTGCACCTTTGCTTTGATGCTCTTGTTGCATAATGCAGCTGCCAGCCTTGAATATGCAACAGCGGGGCTGAGAAAGGTGAAGCACCGTGTTACACATGGGCCCGGGCTTCCCCAAAGGCCAGGCCCACAAATGTGTCCTTGGTTAAAAAAATGGTCTTTTTTTTTTTGCAGTTCTTTATCATCTTGTTCCTTATTTTGCTCTTTCTGATCCTAGATACATTAAAGCTGAAACTCTAGGAGCAGTTGCATTTCAGTAATAATCAGATGTTTGGATGTAATTTATGTTACAGCTGGTTATAATTGCATGGCATTTGTGAATCTTCTGAGATGAAACTTGCTATATGGATGTAAGCTGTAAATTACCAGCATTAGTTGGGCCTTGCCAAGCTCAGAAATGGAACAGTGTACGAGTGAATAAATTGTAACTATACATATACATGTATATATATGTGTGTGGGGGTGTATACAAATATGTAACATATAACATATAATATGTAAATATTATAATTATGGTAAATTCTAAGAGCCTCTTTTCCTATTCACAATATCTCTTTTTAAATATTTCAATTTTCTTATGAGTTGTTATACTCAATTTATTTACCTGCTCTGTAGCTTAGTGCTTGGTGGCTTGCAAGTTCACTGCAGGTTTTGGAAACTTAATTTGGATTGTGTTGATGATCATCAGTCGTATGATTTTTTTTTAATAATTTTATAATTGCCTGGACACTGATGTGTGAGAGTCCATTCCAAATACTATTAGCCTGCTTTGGACTTCATTTGGGAAATGGAAGAGACCTTTAATCAAGGAAAGGCCTTGTGAAAAAGCTGTTGCTCAAATGTTATAAAAATAGTGCTTTTCGCTTTGTGCCTGCAACAACTGGTCTTCTCTAAAGGCAAAAGGAAAAGGAGTTTTGTGTGTAAGTTGAGAAGACCTGTTTATATTTTGTTTTCTTCTGTCATCTCATTCAGAGGGATTCACCTTATGATAGACACCTCAAGGGGCACCTAACTCCCCTGAAGTCAGGGGACTTGTGTTGGCTCCAGGATGGGATTTGACCATTGCAGATCATTAGCTCACCGGCCAAGCAGGAATTTTTTTAAGGAAGGAAGCGCAGTAAAAAAAAAAGAGTAGGGACAAAATAAGTTGGAGTGTGGTGGCCTGGGGAGTCAACATGGGTTTTTCTCGGAATGTTTCAGGCATGTCTGATTGGAGGGGAGACATCAAAGCAGTCAGAAGGAAGCCCTGGTAGGGGAGCGAGTGGCACCGCACAGGCACACACAGGTCCTGCGAGTTTTGCCCACAGGAGATGCCTGTGCCTTCTTGCTTTGCCATGGCAATCAGCCTGGGGAAGCATATTAGATTTACAGCCCTTCCGTGATTCATTTATACGCAGTTAAGGAATAAACATGTGTTGCGTTTCCTGATGGTTTTTGGCAGCATGTTCATTTCTTGTCTCTCTTTTCTTCCTTCCATGCCCAGCGGTGCTGGCACTGTCTCCTGGCGAGGTGAGTCTCTCTGCTTTATTTGGCTGCTGTTTAAATACCATGGGCCCAATATCACCCGAAGTGGAGCCCGTGGGTGCCTAGAGGTGCTGAGACAAGTGGAAACCACTCAGCACCTCCAGGTTCCGAATGGAGCCTGGCGAGAAGGTTTTAGGATGACATTTTGTGCTAGTTCGCTACCAGTTTCAGAGGGCTGGTTACCTTAGTGGAGGCTGTTTTAAGATATCTGTATTCTGAAGTTCTCCTTTAAAGGTCCTAGATGCTAAGGAATAGATGAGTTTCCCGTCAGTGACAGTCACACAGTGGATCAGCGTTTGGGAGCAGTTGCACAGTAACGCGCCTGCCGGTCCCAGAGCTCGCCGGCGGCCCCAGGAGAGCTGCAAGGAGCATGTTCCCCTGCACAGACACGTTTTCCTGTGAATCTCTGCAAACAGGCGAGCTCTGGAGCTGCAGCTCATGGCCTTTACACCGGCCACAGTGACTCCTGGGCACTGACTGCATCTCCGGGGAACCTCAAGGCTGCAATGACACCACGAACGATAGTGGCCAGATAGGATGTGAAATTCAGATACAGACCCGCATCATTTCCCTGAGGCTGTAGTTGTACATGACTACAAAGGTTTCTAGCTTGTGGGCTCAGATTTAGCTTCATGCTGCTATTTTTGGTTATATGTTGGTCTTTTTCTTTTTTTTACTTCCCTGTAGGATGAGAGGCTGGAGCTGTGGCACAGCAAGGCTTGCAAATGCGACTGCCAAGGAGGTCTTAACTCGGTATGGTCCAGCAGGACTAACACCTTAGAGTGCATGCCAGGTAACGGGCTGATTCTCTCCTAGCAATGCTTGCGCGTGGCACGTGACAGCTTTGCTCTCCTTGCACCCTACATTGCGCTGGGGTGCCTTGCAACAGCAGCCCTCCCCAGGTATCAAGGAAAATGGCTTAATCCTTCTTTGCAACCTCCTTTTGTGCAAAGAAGAAGGTCCCCATCCTTCAGCTTCCTCTGGGCTGCCTCTGTACAGCTCCTGCAGCTGTTGCTGCCTGGATATGATTTCCGTGTGATTTCTGGTCACATTTTCCTTCCCCGTGACTGCTCCATGTTTTCCATGACATATTACCTGAGGAAGGCTTCAGTGGTACCAAGTGGAGCTTTGTGCTCGTTTTGTCTGTCTCACAGGAGCCCTGCTCCCAATTACACCTCTGCCATACAGATGTTCAGATGTGTCCCCACTCAGCCTTGCCCTCGTGGGCCAGGTCCCAAATGCAGTGTCCCCTGATGTATCCCCTAGCAGGCCCTTTTCCCAGCTCCTCTAAGAGGCTGTGCAGCAGTTTCAGATGTTGCCTCCAGTGTCCCTGGGAAGGGTGGATGGGAGAACTGGTCACCCTCGAACTCAGCTTCAGGCAACTCTGCCCTGGAAGAAGAGAAGATTAAAAGAGTTTCCCTGGAAGTGCTCTGAGTGCAAGCCAGGACAAGCTAGGAGCAAATAAAACCACGTTATTTACCAGAGACAGGAGAGATGACACCGCTTGCAACGCTTGTAGGAATAAGTAAACAGAAATGAGAAGGGCTGGGGGGAGAACAGCTGTTTCCAGCCCACGCTCGCGCTAGCTCTGCAGGCGGCTCTGCGGCGGCGTGACTCAGCTGCGGAGCGCTGCGACGCGCGCAGCCCGGCCAAGCCGTCTGCCTCCCACCGCCCGTGTCCTCACGGAGCTCCTGCCCTGCTCCCACTGGAGGCTGCGTCCGCCCGGGGCTGCCCCTGCTCCCCGCTGCCCCGCTCGGGGTTATTCGCTCAGCCTGCTGGGGGGCCCCAGGCCTTGCTCCACTGAAACCCCTGCCTCCTGTCCCCCACTTTGGTGATGCTGACGTAGCTTGGGCTACGCCACAGGCTTCCTGCATGCCCAGGTAAACCCCTAGGGGAGGATTTGTCTGTTCAGACTTAAGTGTCTATAGTGCAGATGTCTATACATGAACTTGTTTTCCCGGGCTCCCCTTTCACAAGTACAGGGAGGACTCACTGTCCTCAGTGTCACTCATTGCCCAGGCAACACACAGAGGTAGGAACCAGGATCCCTATTTTGTGCTGGCCTGTCCATCAGCCTTGCTGAAGGGTCAGTGGAGCTCTCCTCTTTGCTGCGGGGACAGCCTGTTCCCAGTAAACCCTTCAAGGCATTTCTTCAGGTCAGCCATAACTGCATTAAATAATTTGGCTGGTTTGGCCAAGCGGCCACCAGGCCTCTGTCTCACAGCTTGTTGTGCCAGAAGGTGACCTGCTAATGGCATTATCGTCAGGTGACGGGTGGCTTAGTGTTGCTAAAAGTAAAGCTGTCGTGTCTTCCGCATACGGTGCTGGAGACAGTTGGCTGAGGAGTAAACATGTGGGGCCACCCCGCCCAGGCTCAGCTTCTTGCACAGCGCAAGCAACTGCTTTTAATTCTGCGAAAAAGCTGGCGGTGGCATTGCAAGCTAATCCAGTTTTATGCCTGCCACTGTATCACGTTCAGACCTTCAGAAAGGCAAAAGCTAATCTCCATTTCTTTTTGATTTTTTTTCCCCTTAATGTCATCTAAAAGGCAAAGTTTGCTGTATGTGCACAGGGCTTTCAAGCGATCTGTACACATGGCTGTTATTAGACTTCCTGGGTTTGATATTTCCAAGCCTGGAGGAAGCCGTGACAACAACTCTGTGTTTTCTGAGGGGAAAAATACATTAATGAGGTATTGACTGAACAAGGTATGTTAATGAGAGAGCCATGTATAGGCTATTGACCTCGTGGCATTTGCTAATGAGACATTGACCGCCCTGCTGAAGTGCTCCAGCGCTGCACAAATGAAGTGGGAAAGGTCTGTGGAGGCAGTGGCCATGCAATGCTCTGGTGTGCTCCCCACTCTCCTACTCCGTTGAACCATGAGGCACTGGACTGGTCTCTGAGTTGTGGTGAAGACATGGAAATGTCTTGTCCGCAGAGCTTTGCTTATTCATTCGCTGTTGCAATCCATAAAACTGAGCCAAACAAGAAAAAATGATAGTTCCTTGATGGCACCACATGTGCAATGGGAATCCCCCCCGCTTCATTGCATGCAGAGCTATAGAGATGCCGTCTGTGGCTATATATGTTTGCTCAGGCAATTCCCAGGCAAGGCTTGTGAGTCCCTCCCCTCCATGTATCTAGATAGCCCATGAAGATCTGCCCTTACAAAAAAAAAAAAAAAGAAAGAAAAGAAAAAAAAAAGACAATAACAAAAACCAAAAACAGGGTTGATGCCTTCTCACTTCAGCAAGTCCAGGTGAGGAGACCACTCAGGTCTGCCCAAGCTGCTGCAGCAGGTGCTGTGATGTCTTGGGAGCCAGCACTAATCTCCCCTCATCCCTTTTAGAGAAAGTGGGGGATCTAGCTGAGCACTTGCTGCCCCCTGACTCCCTCAGCCTGGGCAGGTTCAGGCAGGTTGTGGATGGAGGCCGTGGGGGCCGCCACACCCTCTTCCTTATTTTCATCCATAAGGGTCAGCTCTGGAAGGGGACAGGAAGAATTGAAGGCAAAAGCTGACGAGGAGATCCCTGAGCCTTCAATAGAGGCAGTTTCTTCCCACTGGGGAAAAAAAAAGAAGGGCCAGGCACTGCTCCCCATGTAAATACGTGGAGTACCGTGAGGCTTTCCATGAGGCAAGTCGATTGCAGCGCACAGAGATAATCCCTATAGCAGAAAAAAAGAAGACATGAGGAAGCTTGTCGAGGGATAATCAGAGCAGCTCAGTAATTTTGCCATGTAGGTACAGACATAAATCAAGACAGTTCAAGTGAGCACAAGACCTGAAGGTGATAAGGCCCAGCAAAGAAAAACCATGTCTGACTTTTATCGGGGACCTGGCAGAAGAGACTTCCAGCGTGGGGCTGAGTCCAGGCCATTCACAGGAGGAAGGAGCCTCAGTGGTCACAGTGGCCAAGGAAAACTTCCCCTCCAAGTAGCTGCTGGCTGCCTAGAGCCAGGCGTAACATGCACTGTAGCCCAGGGAGGAATTAGAAATTAAGATCCCAAAGTGCCAGGGCAGCAAATCCTGACAGGATTGCAGCCAGGGCTCAGGAGCACCTCCCGCATTCCGACCTTCCTCAAGCTGCAGCACTGGCAGGAGAGCAGAGCAAATGCCACCGAGGAACAACGCTGTGTGCTCCTCTTAGTAAGCAGCTCTCCCCCTAGCTTGTGCTCTCCTTCGTGCCCTAGAGTGCCCCTACCACAAGCCCTTGGGCTTTGAGTCCGGCGCCGTCACCCCCGACCAGATCAGCTGCTCCAACCCCGAGCAGTACACGGGCTGGTACTCCTCGTGGACCGCCAACAAGGCCCGCCTCAACAGCGGTGTCCCCCGCAGGTGCGCGTGGCTCTCCAAGTACCAGGACAACGGGCAGTGGCTGCAGATCGACCTCAAGGAGGTGAAGGTGATCTCAGGGATCCTCACGCAAGGGCGCTGTGATGCCGACGAGTGGATGACCAAGTACAGCGTGCAGTACCGCACCGACGAAAACCTCAACTGGGTTTACTACAAGGACCAGACCGGCAACAACCGGGTAAGCAGATGTGACATGGCGGCCCTGCGGAGGGAAATGGGTGATCCCTAAAACCAGTGAATGGGGTCTTCCTCTGCAATGACAGGCTCACCAGCTCTTGCCTGAGCATGGGAGGCTAGAGCCCAGGGTGCCCCTGCTCCAAGGTCATGTCCCCGCTCCAGGGAGGGCTCTGTGGGTTGGTGCACAGCATTCCCAGGGTTGCCTGAGGATTTACTGTGAGCAAAATCACATTTTTAGTGTATTTTTTTGTTAGAGCAGCAGTTGCTGCAAGCCCTGGGGAGATGCAGAGCTTTCAGCGAAAAGCAGGTCGTGAAAGCTGCAGTTGGATCATTCCCAGCAAAGCAGCAGGGAAAGCTGCAAGGCCCTGCCCTAGCATTTCTTTTCTGTGCCACTGAGGCTGGGAGCCTGACTCCTGAATTGCCAACAGCCAAGATCTGCTGCCCCCACTACATGCTTAACACTGCCTGGCCACAGGAAGCCCAATGGGAGCTAAATCAATGAGCGCAAGTCCTGGCTAGCTGGAAAAGAAGAGAGAAAAGATGTGGGGAAGGTGACCCACTCAGAAAACAGTCACAGTGATGCAAATTGTCTGCATTTCAAAGTCTTTTTGCTGCAGCATATGGCTTGGGGTGGCCATCCTGCTCCTCTGCTCTGTGCCAATGACTCCTTGCAGCCCCCTTCCCAGAGTTTCCTCCTTCACCTCCCTCACCCACATCTCCCTCCAGGTTTTCTATGGCAACTCGGACCGCTCGTCCTCAGTCCAGAACCTGCTGCGCCCCCCCATCGTGGCCCGCTTCATCCGCCTCATCCCGCTGGGCTGGCACGTGCGCATCGCCATCCGCATGGAGCTGCTCGAGTGCCTGGGCAAGTGCTCCTGAGCGGGGCCAGCAGGGCCGAGCGGTGCGAGGCGGCCGGCCTCACCTCACCTCGCCTCGCGAGCTGGCCTCGCGGGGCCGTCGCTGCGCCGTGCCGCCCCCACATAGCCTGGCACGAGCCAGGCCGCAGCAACACTTCAGGCCTCGCCACTGCTGTCCCCGTCCTTTCCCTCCCTCCCGCGCCAGCAGCGCTGGTGCGGGGGAAATCCGACAAAGGCTTCATTAGGTTTTGACAGCTCTATTGTTTCATGTGGCTTTATCAGCTCCCTGGTTATAACTTAGTTTAGCAGCTGATCTCACCCTCTGGAGGATAGCAAGGATCTATGTTGTGCTCAGTGTTCGCTTTTGCAAGTTGGAGTGTAGTCAGTAGCGACGTAGGGGGGTTCTTTGAAAAGGTAAATGGCGAAACATAAAGGTGACCTGGATGTGTAGCCGTGCGCCTGTATATCCGCCCCATGCTGTTATTGGTGTGTATTGTGGCTATGATACAATAGTGTAAATGCCCACCTGAGGATTTCTTGAATAAAACATTGCTTTGTACCACACCTGATGATAGAGCCGAAGCCTTTTGCAAAATCTGATTGATAGTTATGGGGCAGACATTAGCAAACACAGACAATTCACTGCCATGTCCTCGTTCACGTGAGACGTGCCGTCTCCGGTCTTGGGTGTTAAATCACGGAAATCATCAGCACAGCACGCTGCACGGGCTGAAGGGCCAGTGGGGATCCAGGAGCAGGACTCAGATAAGCTCAGGAAGGAAGGTTTGTGCTTGTCTCTTCGGCCCAGGTCTCTGATGACAGCACTCCATGGCCCCACATGGGGACCTTCCCCTGAGCACCCTTGTAGAGTCCTTGCTCAACCCTCCCTCTCCAAACATGCATCCTCTTTGGGGTTAATATGGAGTCTGCTTTTGCCTTGAGTTTTCATAACTCTCTAGAGTTTACCTCACCAGAAAAGGAAGAGAAGGGAATTTGCACTGTTCAGCAGTTATACTCCTGGTTATCCCGTTCTTCCACTCCAAAATGTTACCCGGGTAGATTTTGGGGTGTCCAACATCTCCCAAGGAATTTGCGATGTGGTGACTCCTGCCGAATGCCTGCCGCCCCCTGAGCCCCTGGGTGCAGCGAGGGAGCCTTGGAGACACGGCCTGCGTGTTGCTGCTTGTGTCCTTGCCCTGCCCTGGGAGCCGTGTCTGGCACTGCCTGCGGCCTGGCACTGTAGCGTTACCACAGGTGCCCATGTGTGCACTGCCTGTGCCCCAGAACCCCCGTCCCTTTTCCCTGCCCTCTGCCTGTGCCAGGTCCAATCCCACCGGCAGCTGGAGGAGTGGGATCTGAAAGAATCAAGGCAGCTACAGCTGGAATGCCTGAGCAGGGGCAGGAGTGGCACGAACTGCACCAAGAGGCCAGGAGGGGCCGCCTGCCTCTTCGCCTTCTTCCTGTTTCTCCAGGCAGTCAGATACTCAGAGCAGGGTGGGAGGTGAGGTGTGGCCAAAAACATGAGAAAAAAACAACACCCGTGGATGTGGGTGTAATTCATCACATTTTATTCATTCATGATGCCAGACATTTGTCTTCTTTTGCTTCTTTAATTAATATGGTTCATTTGAATAAAGAGATAAACAATAGCTGTCAGGAAAATGTGCTGTTCTGGCAAGTCTGAAAACTTTTGCTCCACTATACAAAGGCATCAAGTCTACAGAGATGTAGAAAACACTAATCCCCATCTGCCGAAATGATTCTTACCATGTTGCCTTCACTCTCTTGCTTCTCCCCTCCCAAACTAGTGTTGCCTATGCCCAAATGGGTAGGCGGACACATTTGCTGGGAAATTAGAGAACCTGGCTGTCTGTCTTTTGAAGCAAACGCCTCTCTCCAGGCAACCTCTCCCGAGAGAATCCACCAAACACGAGGTAAGTCCTCTCTGCAGTCGGCCTGTGGGACCAACACAGGGCAACATCTTCCCTGCTTGCACTGCACAGAAGCCAGGAGGGACCCATGGGCTGTCACCAGCAGTAATAACTGGTGCTATAAGCCATGCTCATAGTAACCCCACTGACTGCTGAAGCATCTCCAGGCTCTGCACTTAGAGTTACTCAATAATTTGAAAGAGCTCACAGGCCTAATCCACAGCCTGAATGGATGGATCACATCCCATCATATACCAAGGCACTGTAATAAATTACATACTGTCACAGGACTGACCCTACAGAGAGGACATAATAAGGTCTCGGAGAAGAAAGATTGTCCAGGTAAGAAGGTCCTGTGTTGTGGCTCTTCCAGTGCTCCAGCTTCAAATAAGTCACTAGACACTGCTTCCAGACTGAAATGTATGGCGACACGTAAGGTATATGGGTGTGTATATATATACACATGTGTATATACATATGTGTGTATATATATATATACATGCATATATATATATATATATAAGGAATATGCAGCATTTCACAGCTTATTTGCTCCTCACCTCACTCTGTTCTTTGCAGCTCACGGAATGGGCACTCAGTGGAGGGACCTGCTCTTGGCTTTTATTTGCCATTTAGTGGCAGTTCTTGCTGGAGCTGGCATTCTGCTGCGATCCTCGCTGTGCAGCTCGCTTGCTGCTCGACCTCTGGAAATTCACTTAGCCTCTGCCTCTTATCTGGAAAGAGGGGTGCTGAGAGGCTTCATTAATTATGTGCTCATAGACCGCTTTTACAATTGCTCTCATCTTCCACCTCAACACGAACACAGACTATTGAAGCATCCGTGTGGCTGAGGGCATGATGTAAGCACCATAAAATGAGCCAAAATACAATTACAGAGATATAAGGCTCTTGCTCAAAAAGTCTAACTTTTCCTCGCACATGAATCCTATTCTGATTTACTGGCACAAATGCCTCCAAGCATAATTAACCAGAGCAGGAGCAGCAACTGAGCCTTCAAGAAATGATGCAAAACAGTGCTGCAAATGCATCCATCTTCCAGGGGGGGTAATTCTGCAGGCACTTACAGGCAGAGGTAGGGAGACCAACACATGACTTTGAGACATTGTGAATTGTAACAATTTTTCCAAAGGAATCATGACCAAGAGCTGCTTGCAGATTTCTGACACTAATTCCTATCTGGGAGTGCTTACAAAGAGAAGTGAGAAAAGCGTGCTAGGTAGTCAAGCTTGCCCAATCTAAATTATGGGTTGAGAGACCACCTCAAGCACTCCGCTCCAGCCACAGCATTGGCGAGGATCTTTAACCCCCTCCTCCCAGCGGGCATGTACAGGAATCTTCCTCCTACGGCTGCTGGAGGGAGAAGTCCGCACGGCCCCTCCGTTCTCCCTCCAGAGGCTGACTGCACCGTGGGCGACATGGAGAGGCGCTTTGCAGGGGGCCCTCTGCAACAGGGAGGCAGTTCCATTTCCTGGTGCTTGCTGCAGGGCACTGGAGAGGGCAGTGAGGTGAGCAGGAAGGTGAGAGAGGCTGTAGGAGTAAAACCCCATCCTGGGAGAACTAGGCATTTCCAGAAAACAGGCGTCTCGAGCACATTCCTGGTGAGGCGAGATCGCACAGGAGTTTTGAAGTGCTGGGCGCCATCTCCCCTGGGTGCTCCAGGGCCTGGTCAGGCCAGGCCTCCGTGAGGGGGCGAGGGGCAGGTCAGCCCCAGCCCCGCAGCGCCGGGCGCTCTGGGCCGCCAGCTGGAGAGGGAAGGGGAGGACAGGGAGCAAGGCAGGGCAAGGCTCCCGACTCCTTTGCTTACAAATAACCTTGGAGAACTGAGATCTACCAGGGACATTTTTTAAAGCTGCACACACATAAAATGCCATGACAGGCCGCTTTCAAGAGGACCCTCTTCCAGGAAAGCATCACTGACATGTGAAGAGTAACCTAGAAGAGTCTCATCTTTTGCACAGGAATGAGCAAATCCCAAAGCACCAAAGCTCAATTTGTTGATCTCTTTCTGCAGCAAAAATATAAGGCAAGGGCTGGGCACTTTAACAGCCTTTTGGTTACCTGAGTAGAGACTGAGGAGTGGAGTGGTGGGTTGCTCGTGTTCAGAAAAGATGACAGGGATTTTGCAAAAATCTCTGACTAGATGAAGTGAATAAAAGCAAAGAAACTTCTGCACTGAAGCTATGGAAGGGGCGGGCAGCAATTTATTTTATTTTTTTGTCTATGCTCCCGTGGATGGAAACAACCCAGCTTCTCAAAGAGGAGTCAGGCACGCGCCAGCATTAACATGCAGCTCAGGGGAAGTCTGGTGCTGTTCTGATCCGTCCTGCTCAGCTGATCCCAGCTAGCACACCAGAAAGTGCTTTGTAGAAAATGTCTGAGGAATAACATTAACCATGAAAAAAAAGAAAGGACAGTTTTCTAGTGCAAAACCTGCATTTTATTAAAGACATATTTTGGAAGGCCCATTCAAAAATACATTGTGCTCAGTAAAAATGAACCATTTCCATGCTGATAGTTAAGGTTACCACAGGATTTTTTTTCTCTTTTAGAATATTTACAGCGACAATAGAAATTGTACAGAAGTTAAGAATGGAATACATGCCCCCAAAAAAAGTTTGGTAAGGTGTCCCGACAACATGATACAAAGAATCGTATACAATCACTTTACAAATGGTTTATTAACTTGCATGAAGTCATCTTTAAATATTCAACACAGTTTAAAATCAATTTGTATTCCAGGATTAAAAAGGTTAACATCACATCACATCCCTTCCACAACAGAAAGCATGGTAGATTCAAAAGTTTGTGCGCTTCATACTTTCTAACAGCTGTTAACAAAATTGGGGAATCGTATCCATAAATTTAGAAGTTTTGAAAACTACCTCCACAGTCTGTTATTTTTGGAATAGTCTGTATTGACAGATGGTGAAAAAAGACCACATTTTTCTAAACCTAGTTTTTCCTTCCTTCTCCCAAATGACATAATTCAGTATTCAGTATTTCACAGTGGAGATCTAAGCAGTCCTGAAAGGTTTCCTCAGCAGATTTACCAGATTTTAAAGTGCCTGCAT